TATTTCATCCCCCATATAGTATTTCATCCCCCCATATAGTATTTCATGCCCCTCATTTATAGTAATTCATCCCCTCATATAGTAATTCATCCCTCATAAGTATTTCATCCCTCATATAGTATTTCATCCCCCATATAGTATTTCATCCCCCCATATAGTATTTCATCCCCTCATATAGTATTTCATCCCAATATAGTATTTCATCCCCCCATATAGTATTTCATCCCCAGTTACAGTAATTCATGACCTCATATAGTAATTCATACCCCCATATAGTAGTTTCATCCCTCATGAATAGTATTTCATCCCCCATGAATAGTATTTGTCCCTCATATAGTAATTCGAGGACCCCCCATATAGTATTTATCCCCCCATATAGTATTTCATCCCTCATAAAGTAATTACCTCAGACCTCATATAGTATTTCATCCCCCACAGTACTATTCCCCCCCCCCCCTTCAGTAAGCCAAGTCCCCCGTGTCAATTCACTTACCTTTTGCGTTCCTCTCGCTGTCTTCCCGCGCCGTCTAACTACAGGCCGTCGGGTCTTCAGGGTTACTGTGAGAGGAGCCTAGCTCCCCTCCCCTCACGTTGGGCACGCGCTGGCATTATTCCAGACTATACACACGTCCCTGACAGCCACATCCGCAGGCCGGATTAAAAGGTCCGCGCGCAGGGACTTTTGGGGCTGCCAATCACGAGAGGAGGCAATAAAAAAAGCGGACCGACCGATTAAGAGGAGGGAGGGGAGCAGGCGCCCGGCACACAGAAGAGCCGCATTAGACTGGGTAAAGAGCCGCATGTGGCTCGCGAGCCGCGGATGCCGACCACTGGCCTAGGTGATCGGAAGCAAAAGCTGCCCTCCCTCCCCGCAGTCTTCTGGGACATGTGACAGGTCCCAGAAGACTACAGAACCATTCACAAGGCAGAACGCTATATGTGAAGCTGCAAGCTGTCACAGCCAGGTGCCCACACTTAGGATGCCGGCACCAGGAAGAGAGGATGGCTGGTGAAACCGGCTGCAGTGAGGACACCACTGGATCATGGGACAGCTGAGTGGCTGTTTTTTTAAAAGTCAGCAGCTATAGTTTTTGTAGTTTCTGACTTTTATTTTTTTTAGATTCTGACTGGACCTCTGCTGTAATCAATGTTAAAATCCACAGTCACAGGCCTTATAATGCCACATCTCACATATTTGCAGTGGTTAAAAAAAATGATTGTAGCTATCATCATACACAGAAACACCAATTAGACACCCATAATGGCATGTCAGTACAGAGTGGTATCATGCCTGTATGCCAACGCCTTTCGAGACTTGCTCTTCCTCAGGGAACTCCATTGGACCTTGGTATTGAAAATAAGAAGATGTAAAAAGAGGACCAGTCCATAGAGCCACACACATAAAACCCCATATGGGGATTAAACCACCCTTTTTCAACCAGTTTGCCTTCAGGTTTCTTCAGTGGTACCTTGGTAAAATGCCTAAAAATTGTGTACAAGCCAGCAGATGGATGAAGCCTGCATTTTAGTTGCACAATACCACAGGTTTTCATTGTGCACCAGTACAACATTCTAGCTACTGGCGACATAACAACCAATGATATCATCAGTTGATTAGAAGGGCATTGGGCGCTTTCAAAGCATCCTTGCTTTTTCCTTCTCTGCCCCTCTCCATCAACACTGGGGTCACACTAGCTGAGTGAGAGAGAAACCGTGGGAGAAGAGAAACTATGGTATACTAGTCAGTACCAGTGTGCAAAGGTGTGTTTGCTTTGGAAGAATAAATCACTTCTGCTGTTGGGTGTCCTACATGTGCAGATGTTGCTGCATTCTGTAAAACTTTTTGTTTAGTTTTTTTTACATTTTGTAATGGGGTGACTCAAGATTGTGCAGAATTTTAAAGGGTGACTTGACTGAAAAAAGGTTGAGAAACACTGGATTAAACACATCTAACAACATACAGATGAGCAACCAAGAACACAGCAGGATATATATGAAGATATTTCCTGTGATCATTATTTAAAAAAAGCATTCTATTCCATAACTGCTCAACTCAGTAGGGGTCCAGGAGAGAGTGGTGGAGGAGGGACCAAGCCACCAATGAAAAGATCCCAGAAGTGCTGGAGAAACCACATGGTGCCACCGATAAAGCATGAAAAAAAAACATATAGTATAACATAAACAACCAAATACACTCATCTTATTGGGATGCTAAGGAGTCCATCCAGAAACATGGCTGACTGCTGCCATCCACTCAGTAATGAGCAGTGTCAGCCACCAGAAGGACCACCTTTTTATATCCATAAACAGGATGGGTAGGCTGCCAGTGGAACCCGCCCCATCACGAACGAGTGGTCTGCCGCCCAAACCTTCCCCTGGCAGCACAACTATTTAGGAAGGCTTCCACTTCCACCTATAGATTCTAATCACAATCTGATAATTCTTTCCAAAGTAGTCCCTCTAGTGCCCAACCTACAGCTCAGGATGTTTGGCACTTTTTGTGTGGTCCTCTGTGCCCCTGCAGACACTGATCTCTGTCTCCCTATTGCCCTGTTATAGTAGTTATTTCTACCAGCCTCAGGTAATATGTCCAGTCTCTGACAGCCTCCTGTAGCATGACCTCAGTCTCTGAACATCTCTTGTATCATGTCCTCAGTCTCTGAACATCTCTTGTATCATGTCCTCAGTCTCTGAACATCTCTTGTATCATGTCCTCAGTCTCTGAACATCTCTTGTATCATGTCCTCAGTCTCTGAACATCTCTTGTATCATGTCCTCAGTCTCTGAACATCTCTTGTATCATGTCCTCAATTTCTGACCATCTCTTGTATCATGCCCACAGTCTCTGATCATCTCTTGTATCATGCCCACAGTCTCTGACCATCTCTTGTATCATGCCCACCTGCAGTCACTGACCATCTCTTGTATCATGCCCACAGTCTCTGACCATCTCTTGTATCATACCTGCAGTCACTGACCATCTCTTGTATCATGCCCGCAGTCTCTGACCATCTCTTTAATCATACCTGCAGTCACTGATCATCTCTTGTATCATGCCCGCAGTCTCTGACCATCTCTTGTATCATGCCCGCAGTCTCTGACCATCTCTTGTATCATGCCCGCAGTCTCTGACCATCTCTTGTATCATGCCTGTAGTCTCTGACCATCTCTTGTACCATGCCTGCAGTCTCTGACCTTCTTTTGTATCATGTTTGGAGTCTCTGACTGTGATGGAAGCGTAGGCAGGACAGAACACACACGGAGGATGGTAAACACAGAAAGCTTTATTGAACTATGGGAGGCACTCAATCAGGGTAGGAAGGTAGCGTCTGGGTACCCAAAAAAGGGGAAGAGAGGAAAGGAGCCCAAAATAATTGAAATCCGGCCCACGATAGGGCAATTTAGGTGGTGATGGCCCAAGCCAGTATTAATCCAGGCAGACAAGGTGTGAGTGTTTGATGGGGGCCCGCCCAGATGGGAAAATCGGGGCATTCAATGGGACCAGTCCAGGCAGGGTAATGGGGAGATTCATGGACAGTCCAGGCAGGGGAAATAGGGAGATTTACGGACAGTCCAGGCAGAAGGAATAGGGAGATTCACGGACAGTCCAGGCAGAAGGAATAGGGAGATTCACGGACAGTCCAGGCAGAAGGAATAGGGAGATTCACGGACAGTCCAGGCAGAAGGAATAGGGAGATTCACGGACAGTCCAGGCAGAAGGAATAGGGAGATTCACGGACAGTCCAGGCAGAAGGAATAGGGAGATTCACGGACAGTCAGGCAGGACAGTCCAGGCAGGAATAGGGAGATTCACGGACAGTCCAGGCAGAAGGAATAGGGAGATTCACGGACAGTCCAGGCAGAAGGAATAGGGAGATTCACGGACAGTCCAGGCAGAAGGAATAGGGAGATTCACGGACAGTCCAGGCAGAAGGAATAGGGAGATTCACGGACAGTCCAGGCAGAAGGAATAGGGAGATTCACGGACAGTCCAGGCAGAAGGAATAGGGAGATTCACGGACAGTCCAGGCAGGGAGATGCACGGGTCCAGGCAGGGAGAATAGGGGGGAGTCATGGACAGTCCAGGCAGGGAGAATAGGGGGGAGTCATGGACAGTCCAGGCAAGGGAGAATAGAGGGATTCACGGACAGTCCAGGCAGGCAGAATAGGGGGAGTCACAGACAGTCCAGGCAAGGGTGGTATGGACACTCACGGTTCTGGTAGGAGACACACACAGCCGGCAGCAGGCAACAATAATCCTTGGCATACAGCGGGTAACAGCAGAGTATTCCTGGGCACACACACAGCAGGCAGGTAGCGGTACTCCTGGGGCGGGTAATCTAGCGGAGTATTTCTGGGCACACAGCGGGTAACAGCCGAGTATTCCTGGGCACACATACGGCAGGCAGTAGCGATACTCCTGGGCACACAGCGGGTAATCTAGCCCCAGGGATCAGCAGAGTACTCAGTGGGGATGGCTGCGGGGGTTTGACCTCAGCTCAGACCTCCCAACAGCAGCTCACGGTGACCAGCGATCAAAGACACCGGCTGGGTCCCGCTCCGGCCTTCTTAAGCCGGAGCAGGACGCTTCCTGGTTGCTCCGGCAACGGCCGGCCCAGCATCGCATTGCCGGGGCAACGAGGCACGCCCCCCTGACTCTGGCCGCGCTTCAGGGAGAGTGGCCTTTGGCTGCGCCCGCTGGGGGAGACGCGCAGAGACACCCCAGCGGCCTGCTCCGGGTATTCCTGGTGGGGTGCCCGACTCCTCGACGGCTTCACCGAGGAAAGGTGCTACTGCACCATAGGGGGCGTTTCCTCCCGTCCTGCACAGCCTTTGTTGTAGGCTGCGGCAGGAGGAGAGGAATCTGCAAGGGGGGAGGGAGGGATTGATCAAAGGACAGAGGGACAGCAGGCAAGGGGGGTGGGGGTGGACCGTGACACTGACCATCTCTTGTATCCTGTCCGCAGTCTCTGACCTTTTCATGCCCGCAGTCCCTAACCATCTCTTGTATCATGCCCGCAGTCTTTGACCATCTCTTGTATCATGACTGCAGTCTCTGACCATCTCTTGTATCATGTTTGCAGTCTCTGAACATCTCTTGTATTCTGTCTGCAGTCTCTGACCATCTCTTGTATCATGTTTGCAGTCTCTGAACATCTCTTGTATTCGGTCTGCAGTCTCTGACTATCTCTTGTATCATGGGTGCAGTCTCTGACCATCTCTTCTATCTCTTGTATCATGGGTGTAGTCTCTGACCATCTCTTGTATCATGTTTGCAGTCTCTGACCATCTCTTGTATCCTGTCTGCAGTCTCTGACCATCTCTTGTATCTTGTCTGCAGTCTCTGACCATCTCTTGTATCTTGTCTATAGTCTCTGATAATGTATATTTATTGAATTTTATATGTGGCCCTTTGGTGTTGTCTGGGGCTGCACTTGAGGCCCCCCATAAGAAGAACGATGTCCACCACTGCTCTAGTGTCTGTAAGATATCAGTGGCTGTCATTAGGGTTCTTCCAGGGGTTGCTAAGGGTTCCTCAATCTGTTCAGATTGACCTCCAAACTAATGGTTTCTGCATAGTTTTGGGGCCTATGTCATTTGGGAGAACCAGCAGTATTATCTCTTTAGTTGTTAATAAGGGGGGCATTCTTCCTATTGAACGCCAATGCACTAGCTACCAATGTAAGGGGCATTTTTCTCACTGACCACCAATGTAAGGGGCATTCTTCTCACTGACCACCAATGTAATGGGCATTCTTCCAACTGACCACCTATGTAAGGAGCATTCTTCTCACTGACCACCAATGTAAGGAGCATTCTTCTCACTGACCACCAATGTAATGGGCATTCTTCCAACTGACCACCAATGTAAGGAGCATTCTTCTCACTGACCCCAATGTAAGGAGCATTCTTCTCACTGACCCCAATGTAAGGAGCATTCTTCTCACTGACCACCAATGTAAGGAGCATTCTTCTCACTGACCACCAATGTAAGGAGCATTCTTCTCACTGACCACCAATGTAAGGGCATTCTTCCCACTGACCACCAAAGTAAGGGGCATTCTTCCAACTGATCACCAATGTAAGGAGCATTCTTGTCACTGACCACCAATGTAAGGAGAATTCTTCTCACTGACCACCAGTGTAAGGGGCATTCAGACTACCAATGTAAGGAGTATTTTGATCACTGGCTCCCAAAGTAAGGAGCACAAACCAAAACAAATATTCTATTGATCTTGGAATTCTTTTTTTTTTTTTTTTTCAGAATGGAGCATAGCCTGCTACAGACAGCCAATGCAGAGCTAGAGAAACGTCATCTAGGTGTGGCTGAGGATCTGTATGGGAGATTCATAGATGACTGCACACAAAACCGGTGAGAGCACACATAATCTACAAGCTGAATATGCTTAAAGCAGTAGCACACAATTCTGCCTGTGATCCCACAACGCTTTGCGAAAATGACAAATCACATATTCCTTTCCAATAGTGTCATAATGCGGTGTGGTCCTGCTGCGATTGTCGCATGATAAATTGCTCTGCAATTGTGGCGAAGCACATCACGCGAAGCTTGTTGCCTAAAAGAAGCTCCTGCTCTTTTCTGAGCTTTGCACAGTGTGGTTTGTCACGATTTATCACGCCAGAACTGCATTGTGTTTTGGTGCCATTGACAATGATTGGCAACCCGAACAGTCCTGTGGTTTGTAATTTTTGCCGAGTGTTTTGGGATCGTGGGCAGAATCATGGCGATTCTGCCTGAGATCACAAACACCCTAAGCCTTTTTTCCTTCTATTTTCTTCTGGTGATCCAGCCAGTAAGTCTGTTGTTTTTAAAAAGAACAAGCTCTCAGATGTAGAAGTTACAGGGATGAGACAAACCATTTTCTACTGATAGGGGTGCTTACAATGATCAGTTTTTATTTATGTAAAACCTGTATGCCAAAAGGAAAAAAAACTGCTGTAACTCTCAAGCTGTGGCCCCCCAGCTGTTGGGAAGCTACAAGTCCCATGAGGTATTGCAAGGCTGACAGTTACAAGAATGACTTCCAAAGACAGAGCAGAGGCATGATGGGACTTCCACAACAGCTGGAGGGCCACAGGTTGAGCACCCATGCTGTAACTGATTATAAAGATTTGGAGTTCGGCATTGATTTGTTAGTGTATTTAAATCTGCTAATACACTTAACACTTCCATCCCCACAGACTGACAGTGTTGGTGTCTGCTGTGCCCCCTGTGCTCATTCATCCAGAGTGGAGGCACTCTAATACAGGAGGTGTGTTACTGGCCACATCACAAGTTGAAAACAGGGGGAAAGCCTAGAAAAATACAATTGCGCAGCCACCACATCTAATGACTGGTAAGCTGTAATATATTACATTTTTGGTTTTGGGTTTAGTACAGCTTTAAAAATAAATCAGGATTATAAGATAATTGCAGAATCAGCCTTACAGCATAGATGAGAGTTGCAAGTCCAGAACTAAGGGGGTGAGAAGAACTAGCAACTGTAGGATGTCTTTTTTAACCACTCTCGTGCCGCCCAATAGCAGAAATACTGAGACACGCACGCACGCATACACACACACACACGGAGTGCACCCTACCCGCGCCTCGGCTGTCAGTCACAAGGTCCCGGCTGGTGATTTCTCGCCGGCACACAGTGATTGCCGAGTATCTCTGACGGGGGGAGAGACCTGTGTATAAACAACACAGATCTCTCCCTTGTCAGCTCCTGTACACTGCTTTGTATGGCTCTTCATAGCAGAGCCATACAAAGCAGTGTGCTTACAGTGAAACACAGATATATTATAGATAGTTATTAAGAGGTTGTTAATTAAGTTATCGTGTCACCCAATGTTTGGTTTCCATTCAGTAGCCAAAAAAGGCATTCAAAAAAGGGGGGTTTGTGAAAAGAGATTCACAGAAAAGCGGCTACATTATGAACAGACCGTGACACTCAGAAAATTTTCCAAAAATTATGCTTTATTACACAGATATAAATATGACATATGGGCATTCGCCCTGGTTTACCATCACCTCAGTATGAGACAATAACACACAGACCTAAAACCATATAAAATGACATCAAGACCGGTCTAAATGTATGTGCAACAGAAAAAGTGACTGCAAGAGTCTAATATCTCTGTAGTACAAAACACATAGGTAAACACTTCCCTAAAGAGGTGTATCCAAAAATTATACCATAGGTATACCATAATATTAAATAATGAATTTACACCAATATCATAATGGTGAATCCCGAACAGGGAATCCAAAAATTATACTATGGATATACGTATATCACATGTATGAAATGCAGTAAGCACAATAAGCGTGAAGAGGGGAACAGTAAGCCTCAGGCCTGTTTGGAAAAAGACATAAATGTCAAATATATGATGCAATACATTCCTGTGCCGGCACACGTGGTTGGGGCCCGTTCATCTGTAATGTGAACAGCTGTGTCATAAAGCTCTTGAATGGAAATAAGCCCCATTTATTCCCAGGATGGGAGAAAAGGTGCAGATTGCAGCACTCTGCTTGAAATGGTGTCTTCACCACTGTATGTGGACTACACACCACCCTTTGTAGGAAAAGCAAGACATATCCCAAGGAATCTTCTGCCTGTTGAACTATATGCGGTATGTCCTGTATCCTACACAAAGCACCATGATGTCCCCATCCTGTAGTGAAACAAATAATGTGGGAAGTCACTGACAGAGCTTGCACTCAATAAGATATGTAGGTCATATTGATCACAGAGGACCGTATATCTAATGTCCTGTAACAATCCACTCACCACCTGTGCCGTGGATAAAGGGAATGAAAGAAATGTCCTTCATGGATATTGCCAAACACGGCTACAGAGGCCCAGGAACCACCGCTGACATCCGCCGATATACCGCGGGTTCCAGCCCCCTCTCAGCGCCTGTGCTGCTCACGCTTGCCTCATGGCATGTGAAGATGGCTTCCTCCTTATGGGTCAGCGTGCGTTCCACCTAGTGCGCATGACCGGAAGTGACGTAATCTGACGTATGACGTCAACGCGTTTCGCCGATGGGCGTATCTCACTCAGCTTCGTCAGGACCAATTGGTCGTCATGGACCAATATCCATGAAGGACATTTCTTTCATTCCCTTTATCCACGGCACAGGTGGTGAGTGGATTGTTACAGGACATTAGATATAACGGTCCTCTGTGATCAATATGACCTACATATCTTATTGAGTGCAAGCTCTGTCAGTGACTTCCCACATTATTTGTTTCACTACAGGATGGGGACATTATGGTGCTTTGTGTAGGATACAGGACATACCGCATATAGTTTCAACAGGCAGAAGATTCCTTGGGATATGTCTTGCTTTTCCTACAAAGGGTGGTGTGTAGTCCACATACAGTGTGGTGAAGACACCATTTCAAGCAGAGTGCTGCAATCTGCACCTTTTCTCCCATCCTGGGAATAAATGGGGCTTATTTCCATTCAAGAGCTTTATGATACAGCTGTTCACATAACAGATGAACGGGCCCCAACCACGTGTGCCGGCACAGGAATGTATTGCATCATATATTTGACATTTATGTCTTTTTCCAAACAGGCCTGAGGCTTACTGTTCCCCTCTTCACGCTTATTGTGCTTACTGCATTTCATACATGTGATATACGTATATCCATAGTATAATTTTTGGATTCCCTGTTCGGGATTCACCATTATGATATTGGTGTAAATTCATTATTTAATATTATGGTCTTATACCTATGGTATAATTTTTGGATACACCTCTTTAGGGAAGTGTTTACCTATGTGTTTGTACTACAGAGATATTAGACTCTTGCAGTCACTTTTTCTGTTGCACATACATTTAGACCGGTCTTGATGTCATTTTATATGGTTTTAGGTCTGTGTGTTATTGTCTCATACTGAGGTGATGGTAAACCAGGGCGAAATGCCCATATGTCATATTTATATCTGTGTAATAAAGCATAATTTTTTGGAAAATTTTCTGAGTGTCACGGTCTGTTCATAATGTAGCCGCTTTTCTGTGAATCTCTTTTCACAAACCCCCCTTTTTTGAATTACAGTGAAAACACAGCCTCATAGTAAAACTGCGCACAGTTAACCCTTTGATCGCCCCACATGTTAACCCCTTCCTGCCCAGTGCCATTAGTACAGTGTCAGTGCTTTTTATTAGCACTGATCACTGTATTGGTGTCACTGGGGATGTCAGTGTCACCAAGTCCTTTCCCCTCCAGTATCAGAGTGCCCGCCGCAGTCCCGCTGTAAGTCGCTGATCGCCGCCTTTACTAGTAAAATAAATCAATAAAAAATTCCAGTATATATACCGCCATTTGTAAACACTATAACTGTCATGTGAACCAATTAATTTACACGTATTGGGATTTTTTTTTAGCAAAGCATAAATAGCAGCATACATTTTGGCCTAAATTTATGACGACATTTGATTTTTTTTAACCGCTAGCCTACAGGGCACTTATACCCCCTTCCTGCCCAGGCCAATCTCCAGCTTTCAGCGCTGTCGCATTTTGAATGACAATTGCGCGGTCAAACAACACTGTACCCATATGAAATTATCATTTTTTTGTGACAGAGCTTTATTTTGGTGGTATTTAATCACCTCTGGGTTTTTTATTTTTTCTTAAACAAACCAAACACCACTGAAAATTTTGAAAAAAAATGTTTTTTCTTAGTTTTTGTTATACAATTTTGTAAATAAGTGATTATTCTCCTTTACTGATGTGCGCTAATGAGGCTGCACTGATAGGCTGCACTGATGGGCACTGATAGGTGGCACTGATGGGCACTGATGAGGAGGCACTGGTAGGTGGCACTGAAATGCAGCACTGATACATGGCACTGATAGGCAGCACTGTTAGGCGGCACTGACTGGCACTGTTAGGCGACACTGACTGGCACTGTTAGGCGACACTGACTGGCACTGTTAGGCGGCACTGACAGGCACTGATGCGCACTGATAGGCGGCACTGACTGGCACTGATAGGTGGCACTGATTGGCAGCACTGATAGGTGGCACTGATTGGCATTGATAGGTGTCACTGACTGGCACTGATGGGTGACACTGAAAGGCAGCACAGATGGGCACTGATATGTGGCATTGATGTGCACTGGTAGGCACTGATATGTGGCACTGATGGGCACTGGCACGAGGCACTGATGAGCACTGACATAAGGCACTGATGGACACTGACAGGTGGCACTTCTGGGGCTACACTAATCATCAGGGCACACTGATCATCAGTGCCCTGATGATCAGTGTACATGTCCCCTCCACGGAAAGCCGATTACCAGCTCTCTCTCCTCTCGAGCTGTCAGCGTGACAGCTCGAGAGGAGAGAAATGCCGAT